GCGATAGGATGAAGAAACGGTACGATAATCAAGCTACGGAGGGATGTTTCAAGGAAGGCGAAAAAGTCTGGCTCCATAACCTAAGAAGACAAAGGGGTTATTCTCCGAAGCTTCAAAGGTCTTGGGAAGGTCCGTACCTCATCAAGAATAAAATTAATGATTTCATTTACTGTATAAGTAAGATCCCGAACGGTAAACCGAAGGTAGTTCACCAAAACCGGCTGGCCCCAATTGAGGGTAACCATGACGAGGAAGGAAGAGTAAACCAGCTCCAAGAAACACCTGACCTTGTCTTTGAAGAATTTATGGGTGCATATGGAGGTACCGGAAAAGCAAGACATGGTGTTACGACCGAGCAACAAGATCTGCTCTCGCTTCCAAAAGACTACTCGCTGGTCCCTAGTACTTCCGCCAGCATCAACGACGCGCGAGGACTGGCATATGTGTTCCGTAAGAAGTTTGGTCGACTGCTAGAACTTCAACGTCAGTTACCAGCCCCTGGAAAAGCCTTGAAACTTCAAGATGAATCCCGCTACCTTTTCTTTTTGATAACGAAGAACACCTTCCGAGATCGATCCACTTATCATGATGTATGGGAAGCATTACTTATTGGTTTAAGGGAGCACGTACTGGAATCCAATGTACAGAAGCTAGCCATGCCGAAGATAGAAGAAAATAAGCTGGATTGTAGGATCATTAGGAACGTGGTGGAAGTAATGTTTCAAGATACCGGAGTTCAAATACTGGTCTGCAAAAAATATTGCACCGGCATGCATTCCTAATACACTCATATGTACGATTAATACATTTTTTGAATCCTCTCCCTTTAGTACTTAGTGACAGTATTGTTTTTACCTTGATGTTAGCCCAACTAATGATATCTGGGCAAAAAAAATATTGCAATGATATGTAATATATTATTTACTCATTTTTACTCCTTTAGAAGTTCGTTACAATAGCACAAGAGGGGGGACCTTTTTTTTAGAAATGTGACATTGAAAGGGCTCCATTTGCTTATAAAATTGTCGCGGGGCCCGACCTGGAAAATTGTCCGGGGCCCGACCTGGGTCTGGGCGGCCCTGTGTACGAGGATACACATTTTAATACTTATAATATTTCAGGTTTTACATCTTTGAATTTCAAACCAAATATAAAGGAATTAGGCATTCCAACGACCTGTCAAACAATAGGTGCCAGTGGGAAATTCTTGTATATTTAAGGGGGTAGCGACATAGTCTTGCAACTTGGACGCTATTTTTATTCGAAGTAGTACTCGCCAAGCCTGCCAATTTATGAAGAAATGTATAGGTTGGTTTTTTAAATATTATTTTTATTGTGTTTGACATAAAATATTTAAATGTAATCCATTATTCATGATTTTACGTAAAGTAGATAGAATACACCATATGTCGCTACCCTTAGATATACCAAACCTGCCCACTGGTAATTCATTTGTTTGGAATGCCTAATTACTTTATAAGCTTACTACAACATACTTGATAACAGTATTGTTGGTGACGTCACACATACCATGGGTAAAGTAAAATGTAACGTCAAATATATCAAATTTAACTTTAAGTTGGGATTTCCATAGACATCATGGGATTTCTAAACCAAATTAGAATTATAAGAAATTTTAGGACCTTCGGATTTTATTTATTTCTCCAATAAAAAGAATAAAGGTTTTATTTTGCTTTATATTTGTGTTGAAATATATTTTTAACAGACTTCAATTCGCCACAATATTTTTGTTTATGTATGTTCAGCGATAATTCTTTAACACGGTGTCCGATTTTAATGATTATTTTTTTGTTACACAGGGGATACTTCAGGGGTGGTCCCATATAAATTTGGTCAAAATCTAATAATAGGATCCATGAGAAAATCCTCAAACTCTTCATTTTTTATGTATGTCTAGCGATAATGCTTTACCACCTTGTCCGATTTATAGGATTCTTTTTTTGTTAGTAAGGGGATACCTCAAGGGGTGGTCCCATATAAATTTGGTTAAGATGTGGTGATGGCATCTGCACGTTTTTGAAGTCGGTTTTTTTAAATTTTTAATTTCTAATACTTGTCATCTTTGTTTTAATATAAATTACAGTATATATATTTCAAGGTTATTTCAGTATTCTGTATTTTTAATTTTGCCTCCCCCCCTCCCCCAAAAGGTGTACAAGATGTTGGGAATGGGGTGTTAATACACTGCGACCTAAAAGATCTATTGTGTCCCCTTCTGTCGCTAATACAGCAAGGAAATGTCTCAATGCCTATAACGACCCTTCCAATCCTATCTTCTCAAGGATGTGTAGAATTTGGAGTGGCTTCACGTTAGGTAAATCTCCCTCTTCTATTTGATATGCTCCTAGGTATAGTGCCCTTGGATTCTGGAGTGCTACACATTCAGTCAGAATGTGGATGGAGGTTTCGTCCTCCTAACAGAATCTGCACTCACTATCTTATACTATACTCAGTTTACTAAGGTGTCCTTTTAGTCGGCAATACCCACTAAGGATCTCTGTTACAATACGTAGCCTGTTCTTGCTCAGGCAGATGCAGGCTTCCGATCTTTTAAGGTTATATTCACCCAGAAGTATTTTACCCTATCTTAGCCCCAAGAAATTGTTCTAATTATCGGTTCTTCTACTGCCCAATTATTTTTTAATTTCTCCTAATATTATGTTACTGCTGATACCGTAGAACGGCTCAGGTCCCACAAAGAGTGTTTGAGTCCCTTTCCTGCGAGACTATCTTGCAATATCGTTACCCTGTACCCCGTTATATTCCCGAACCCAAGTGAGGGCCCTTCACAAAGAAATAGCCTTAGTTTCTCAAGGAAGGTAGTACAAAAAAAATAATTAGTGGTGCATATTGGTGCATCACTAATGCATTCTAGTGCAATAGTTTTTTTTTTAATATAATTGGGGGACCACTTCGCTCCCCTGATTTGCGCTTCCTGTTTAATATTATATAGTTCAGTGGTTTGTACACATAAATGAATGTTAATTTGGTGTTTTAAGGGGATTCCTTCAGTTCAGTGGCGTAACTACAATGCTACAAACCCCGCAGTGCGGGAAGGCGAAGCTGGAAGAGGACTCGTTTTCGATCTTCTTTGCCTTTTTCAGGAACGATCGAAAGCAGGCGTCACTCAACTAACAATCAACACATCGCAAAAATTGCACTCTCACACTTTTTCTTAAGAATTAACATGCATAATATTGATCTAAATCTTTCTTGTAATTTTTTATTATTTGATAATTTATAAATTGTGTTCTTTAGTTTTTATTTATATTATCTAATCAATAAAATTTTACAGTATGTACTTTCTAAATTGCCCTGTGACCTATTCATTAAAAACCATTGGAGTAGTGGAACCAGGCTAGGGGATCTTTAATAGGGAAATGCTTACTCGTGTTGTAGTACTGTGCACCACCCATAGATGGCGCTACTTACACAAAGTTTGCTCGTTGCATTCGTCGAGCAGATTCAGAGCAGGTTCAGAGTAACGCAAGTGTACGCAAGTTGTTATTTAAAACTTTCAACAGCTAAAAAAACGCTATTAATGGCAATAATGGTAATGGTTGATTTGTTTTATTAGGTTAGTTTTTCGAAGATAATTTTTAAAGCTTTAAACATATATAATTATGGTGCGAATTCGTCCTTGTGCTGATCCAGATTGTCAGGATAAAGTTAGTCGCAGGTAAGGAATACATTTACAATTTTATTTCTTTACAAGTAAAAACTTCTTTTTGTATTTTATTCTTAAATACTTTGCCAAATTTTAAGAGCATATATTATTACTTAAAAGTACCCAATTTGTGAAATAAATTTCCAAAATAATGCGGGTAACCTAATGTTTTCTAGGAAAAATTAAAAATCTTAACCTAACTTTTATCATTTTCTATACAATTTCAGTAACTAGATAAAATATGTGAATATTAAGAAGATTGAAATAAATAGTGTTATTAGTATTTTTTTAGAATTATACAATATGTAATGGATACTTTATAGTAGATACCTATATACAACTTTTTTTCCGAATTCAAAATGAGGTACTTTTCAAACATACCAATAATTGTATATTTTATATTGTGCGACTCTTATTATTTTTTGCTCCATATACTGTGACCTACCTCACCACCTAGGTATATTCACAATTTATTGATTCCAATTAATAAAAGTTGCATTCTTACTAAATTCAAATTCCTTCATTTTATTGAAAAATCTTCTACGATATATTTTTAAGAAATGCCGATTCATTCTCACTAGCTAATAAATTAATAGCTCAGCTGAATTGACTCAAAACAAAAATAATAAAATTGAACTTTATATTTTTTAACTGATACTCTTCTTCATTTTTTACATGAAAACGAATCAGCAAACACTGCAATAGGAAGTGACAAGTGCACCCAACAGCAGCCAGAGCCAACTTTCCCCAGGAACTTTCGTTACAACTTCTACTGGATACAACCATGGGTGAACTTCGCAATAGTTTTATATTCATATTTCTTTATTATTGTGTACTGTAATAAGAATTCGTGCAATTTTAATTCTAATAATATAAAATATATGGTTATAATCGTGTTTTACTTCATAATAAGATGTATTTTTTGTTCCATAAATCCAAAATTATAATTTTTCGTTTTCTTTTTTACTTAAAATATTTCAAATTTTTATCTATCACAGAACATAACCCAATGGATTATATCCATCTAAGTATGTTGAGTGAAGAATAAAATGTTTGAATCATTTTAAGTAAAAAAGAACGAAAAATTATAATTTTGAAAACTTAGTAGTGGTTTATTAGAAAGGCCGAGTTTGAAAAACCCGCGCTCATTGACCCCTACCGCCATCTATATAATAAATCTTGAACAAATTTTCAATTATTAGTTATCTTCTTTTTTTTTAACTCAACTATTTGCAACCGCTACGGATGGCGCTGAAAGATGAGTAAAATTTTTCACTGTTGAGTGGCCCATCTTTAAAGGGTATGGTCTGTGAGTGGAACTGTCGTCTCTCGTCTCGTTATGTATTCGACCCACAAATTAAAAGTAACGTTATGCGCGTACAGATCCGGTTTCTGTACATTCTGCGTCTGTGTCTGTGCATAAACCAACGAACTGCCTATACACACTTAAATTATTGGGGGGGACAACTGGGGAGAAAAGAATGAAGACTGACGATGACGATGATGATGTTACATTAAACCTGTAACTCTACCAGGAAATTATTAGTAAAAATGTGCCGCGTTTTGTTTGTTTTGTACTCGCATTGTTTAATTTTGTGATCTATTTAAAAAATTAAGTTATCGTGATAACAAGATAACGAGATAAAGTTTAGGAATGTAATTGTGTTTATTTTATTAAATCCATATAAAAAGGAGGATATATATTATAATAAATACAAAAATTCTGTTTTCTGGTAAGTACCTACCTACTTTACATTTGAATACAATATTTAATATGTGATGTAATTTATTCAGTTTTGCCGACAGACTATATTTCACTAGAGTACCTATGTGCAATTTGCAATATATTTTAATAACAACACATTTACATGTCATTGATCTAGAGAATAATACAAACTTGTTCACGAAACCGGTACCGCACACAGTTTGGAATTTAAAATTATTCTTCCGTTGACCGTAGGTATTTGTAAACTTGATTAATATATTTATACAGTTTATTAATTCGTTATTTATTAAACCGTTATACATCAGTCTTGTCATTCGAATTTGTCACTGTCACTTAGTTTAAAAGAACTTACTCGTGTATTAAACGCCGATAAATAATCTCGACAATGATGTATTATTACATAAAATTTTATGTATTTTGAGGGTGCCATATCTTTTATTATGTAGGTATACATAATTTTAAAAAAGTGACCATTTGTCCTCCATGAAGCTATCCCTCATTATTGTGAGCGCCTCCCAAAATATCCCCCGCTGACAATTTTAAACTACCTAATTCGATACAAAACATTTTTATACAAAAATTGTAATTATATTAAATACATTTTCAGTAAATACGTTAAAATATAAAAAATGTTGTTTTAAGTTTTATTTTCTTTTTACTAATTAAAATATTTCGTCAAAAATAAAAAATAAATATTTGCACTACTTCTATTTTTATTAGCATTTCATAAAAATGTATAACATTTGTCCCCCATTTGTTTAGCTATAAAGAGTCAGTTTGTACATGGTTTATACATGGTTTATACTATGAAGACTAGAGATAAGGAGGCGAATCGACATACTCAAAATACGGTCCCAAAAAACGCACGCTAATTGAGCTTTTATAATTAACCGGATGGGCTCTGGTACTGCTTACGGTGTTCAAAATACATGGCTTCTTATGGGAATTATACATAATTTTGTCAAAATAATAAAAATAAACTTAATAAAGCACAGAACATACTGTTGTATTTATTTCTAAATAAGTCTTGCATGTTTTAATTGATAAATTATTTAATTTTATCTATAACTATATAAGAAATAAATTTTCTTTTCTAGTAACTTAAATTTAATGTATAATTATTGTTGTTTGTAAGTCAGGATCTATGACTGTAAAATTTTATATTATAGTAACTTGTAATAAAATAAACTACACTACGTAAGATACAGATATTGTGACTAGTTTACAATAAATAGTATATTTAGACATAAATACATTATTTTACTTATATTAGAAGCTTTAAAAAGACATTAAATTAATTTCTCCTTGTGTTTTCCTTAGTTTTACATTTGATTTGTATCCTGATTTACAATCTGGAACGACGTAAATCTTGCTTTGATGTTTTTTGTCACTCATGTTACTTGTACAAGTACTTTTTTCACATTATTTTGATTCTTTTCAACAATTTTTAAAAAATTCACCGCATTTTACATTGACTTACATAGAAAATTGACACCCCTGTTATTCGACATGCCAACTATAGTCAATTTCGCGAACTTTATAAAAAGAAGGACGGAAATTTGATATCTGATCATTACCAATTCGCCTCCTTCTCTCTAGTCTTCATAGTTTATAGCTATTAAATGTTACTGAAAAAAATAAAATTTTTACATGATTTGTATATATTTTGTAGTGAAATAGACTAAGCCTTTTTTTGTGTTTTACTCCTTTTTTTAGCAAATTGATCCAAAAAATGATACAAACTTGTTCACGAAGCTGGTACACTCAGATAAACAAATTAAATATAAATAACTTACGGGCGTCATTTAATATTAGGCATTCCAACGACCTGTCAAAATGCTGACAAGTGGGAACTGATAGTTTAGATATGGCAACCCTGTGCACCTGTTATCATTGACAGGGTCAATGATTCATATATATGCCGCGTTTGAGAATCCACATCGGATGCATTTTTTAAATCTCGAGCGTTTTTTTATCCACATCGGACACATCTGTCCCATTACATTTACGTATACTGAATCACGTGATCAAAGATTTACTACATCTCAGATGCATCCGATGTGGATTCTCAAACGCGGCAATTGTCTCGTAAGTGCTCATTAATCAGAATAGGTTTACCAAAAAATGTGTTTACAAACCAATTTTTAGCCTTTGAATATACTAAAAATAATAATTACCTATATTTTATATCAATGCATTTGTTTTGAAAAACATGGATGATCAATTTATGTAACTATCTGTTTCATTGACCCTGTCAAATCTCCAGGCCTGCAGGGTTTCCGTATTATAACCTGTCAAAACCCACTGGTAAACATTTTGTTTGGAATGCCTAATAGGCTTTGTTTGAAGCCAGTATCTACGAACTTTTGACAGTTGTGGTCACCTTGGGCGTATCAAATAGTTTTTTTTTATCAGAATCCAAAGGATTCTTTTGTAAATATTTTGACAAGGACACATTTAAAGAAAAATGCATCTTAAACAAAGGTTGAAGTGACGAGGCCTTAAAACCTTGACTAGTGGCAATAATTTAATTCAGATAATATATTTAAATTTAAATATAACGCTAAAATAAATTAACTGTAGCTTTATTAGTATAAAAGAGTAAAATTTTCTATAAAAGCGTCCCCAACTCAACATTTTCAGTGATTTGTTATCGATTCAGGTTTCATTTTTGTTTTAATAAACTAAAAAATTTCTTTATTATAAATAACAATTTTATAGATGAGAAATACATTTTTCATAAATTTTTAATGTCATTTACAGAAATAAAATATATTTGTGTACCAAAGGCTATAAGTATAAAGTTGATCTTTTTCGGCCGAATCAGAAATTTACGGCAGAGGCCAAGTAACTTCTGGTGAGTAATATTACAATAGATAGACAGATAATTTATTTCATGTAGACAATTTTACAGAATAAACATTTTATATTTTTTAAAACTTTTTGAGCTTATTCCAATTTTTTATGAAGTCCGAAAGTTTATTGGATAAAATGAGTCCTATACATTTAGGAGACCTTTTAGTTAAACGTAATCTACTAACTGGCATATGACTAGTTCCAAAATTACGAATTCTATATTTTGCTTAAATTTATTTAAGTTCTTAAAAACATTTAAACAAATTTCTCGTATTATAATGAAGCTCTAGTGGCAAAATACCATATTTTACAAATATTGGTCGACAAAAATTATATTTAGGATTTAAGAAAATATCACTATCTTTCATACAGAGTGTTCCATCTCAGATGAGCCGCCTCGTATACTTCTTATCCCATAGTAATTGGAAAAATTTCCCGAAACATGTCGGATGATTTTCTTTGGGGGAGATCTTTTGACGTATATTTTAGGCTTAAACGAGCAACCTCCTATGAGGGGGCGCTTCAACCCCTCAAAATTGAATAGGGAAGAGGGGTTGAGTGATACTTCGTTTGTAAGGTCTTGGAAGCCTCTTAACGACGGTCTATGAAAAAATCACATTCTTAAAAGAAATTAATTGTTTTATCATGCTTACAATCAAAAAAATCAAAACTGCGTTTTTAAATCAAATGTTCAAATTGTCCTCCATTGACTTCCATGCAATAATAAATTCTTTCGAACTAATAAATTAAAAAAATCAAAACATTTTCTTATCTTGCCTTAATTTTTTGTTCTTAGAAGGTGGTTATCACGTTTCTTCGATCATTTCATGTATGATAAAACAATTAATTTTTTTTAAGAATGTGATTTTTTTCATAGAACATTGTAAAGAGGCTTCCAAGTATCACTCAACCCCTTTTCCCTATTCAATTTTGAGGGGTTCAAGCGCCCCCTCATAGGGGGTTGCTCGTTCAAGCCTCAAATATACGTCAAAAGATGTTCCCCAAAGAAAATCATCCGACGTGTTTCGGGAAATTTTTCCAATTGCTATGGGATAAGAAGTATACGGGGCGGCTCGTCTGAGATAGAACACCCTGTATATTAAATATATGGAACGCAATGTGTTAAGTTAACTTGTAGCTGTATATAACAGTACTTTTGCGTTCCTAAAAAGACGTACCTACAGTATTATTTTTATATATTTGCTTGGCACTAATTATTTTTTATAGAAATTAAGTCAGAATATAACAATTAAAATACGTGTAATTACAAGCCAAATGTCTCATTAACGACTAGCGTTTATATGTCACCTAATAAGGAAACTTTTTTTGATGAAAAAAATAGTTGATGTTTTACTTTTTCAGTGTTTTATAATTAAAGTGAATACCTTGAAAATACTGTTTTACTAGTTTATGTGAATAATAACTAGACGGGTAAGTGTTGGCCATTAATGATACTTAATATTACACTAATTATGGTTTAAAAATTAAAATTTAACAAAAAACTCTTCTCTTGGTTTTACAAAATGGCATCATTGGCACATACCACTAGTAGAGAAGCTTACAATAGTTCATTTTCACCCTCCAAATTTCATCAATCTAAGTATCACCGTTCAAAAGAAAAGAGGGGGAGGGGACTTTTGAGAAGCACTGTATATATAAATTAGAATACTTGTGTTATAAAAAAAATAAGTGTTTAAATAAATTATTTACAAATAAACTGTTGTTTAAAATAAACAAACATTACAGTAATAATAGTAAACCAAATAAGATTTATTTCCATATTTGATAATTCTGATAACACAAAGTACTCATTTTCTTATCTGATAACAGAAAAAAGCCATTCTCTAATTATTTAATAAAATCATGTGTGCCATGATATGTCAAATATTAAATAACTATCTAGAAGGGAAATGCCATTGAAATTTTATGAATTATAAAAATGGATAGCAGCGTGTTATATAGCCTTAGAAACACTATAATGTACATTTCGCAAGGAATATTAATTCCTTGCTCGTTAACTAATGTACTATTTCATCACTTATTTCTTCTAAAATCACACAATAGAGTAGTTTGTGCAACAAAAGTGGATATGATGGCCATATCGCACATAGACGAAATTTGGCACGACGCCATAGGCGGAGTGCTCAATCG